CACTATCATGTTCTGAAGTCAAGAATCCGCCGGAGTTTGTAGATCCTGGATGTGTATAGACGTATATAGTGACCCATCGGTTTTTTAATGATGATTCCTTGCCTCAACCAACCATTAGAAAAATGCTTGTCACAAAAAAAAAGTTATAGGTATAATTGCCATTATGGACATTATGTATAAACATATAATCGACGACCAGAGCTAGACTGGTTTGAAAATTGTCAAACGGAAAATATATTAAGTCAGCTCATAAAAAACCAAAGTTGAGTTATTTTCAATATTTAGCTTACTTAGCTAATAAATTTACCCAGGTTTAACGGCTATATACTGGAAGTTGTACTTACCTGTTAATATTTACACACACAAAAACAAAATTAAATTTCTGATAACCTAAACAAATAGATTGGACTATTCATTTAAAAAAATTAATTTGCCATAATATATATTTTATAGTTGTGAAAAAGAAGATGTTGTATTTTGATCAATATGGACCAAGCGATCAGACGCTATTGCAGTGTATCGTTAATTTGACGTAATGTTATTCAATTATATTGTAGTGATAATTATTTCAAAATTTCTAAACGGATTAGAAGTAGTTAGTAAAAAATATAATATAAGACAGTAGTTATTAGTATTATAGAATACTCGCTGTTGAAGCATCAACGTAATTTTTTTTATGTTTACGATTTCTGTTTTCGCATTTACAACATTCACCATAACATGTATATGATTTTGTTTAAAATGGGTTATACTGTGATTATTAATGTATAATATTTTTCCAATGGTATCCAAAGGCACACCTATAAAGCTATTTTTAGTAGATTAATATTTAAACCTCTGTTTATTATTAACATTCATTGTTTATTGGTTATTATAGTTACCTAACCGAAGTTATATTTATTGATCATGTATTATCATGCTCACCATTATGAAATGTATTGTTGCAGTCTATAGATCATTCATTGTTATACCTAATCAAAGTGTTACTACCAATAGAATACATATTTTAAGTGTATTTGGGATATTATTTTCCTATAAAAAAAAATATGTTTTACATTCGACAAAGCTATTATTCTTAATAGAAAACAGGAATTTGATTTTGGATATTAATTTATATTGCTTTAACCTTAAATCTCACCATATGCTTTTATCTGTAAATTTTCAACAGAGGTGTTAAATAATACCGACTATACGATTTTAATTTTTTTAACTTTTAATTCTAGAATGTGCATGTGTGCTAAATTATTTGAAGTTATTACCCAATACCTATACACAAAACTACAAACACATAATCTTTCAAAGTCGTGAACGTGAAATGATTTCGGTGACAGAATAACAAATATTCATTTTTTAAGCTGTTTTTTAATTACGTATAATTATTCCGTAAAAAAAATTTAAAAACACGACATTATATACATTAAATATTATATAGTGTGGATATGTTCATTTAAAACAATAAGTCGTGTTGTGAAGAGTAAACAACTTGCGTCAATTATCGATAACGACACGGTGCAGCGATATAATATTATATACTATATATATATATATATATATTGTTTATATATAATATATTACATGTATACATTGCTATACGATCGGGTCCAAGGTTGACAGTAAGTCCGGTGCGCCTAACGCCTAACACTAGTATATAATATATATATAAGTACGTTAACACACACACACACACGATACGCGTATCGTATAAGTACCTAATATACATTATTACGAAAACTATATAGGCACCGTGGCCACCATGTAAAATCGAGTGACCTATAATATGTATATGCATGTATGCATGTATGTACCTATGTATAATGTATATGTGTCATACCATATATATTGTACCGTATACCTAGATTGAAGTTTGCGGTTTGTGCGTTAGAAATTTCACTGCATATTTAAATAGGTACTCGTATAATGATCGCAAAGGAAAATAATGAAAGTGATCAGGAGTCGAACGATAAATTCGGTATTTTTTCACATTGTTTGTAATGTTTTCATAAAAATAATACTATAAATATTTTATAAATTACCTATATAATAATGACAGAAAAAAAATATTACTATTTTGAGACTGTTTAAGTTAGGTTCATGMAAATTTTTATCTTCAGAGTTTATTATAGAATTTTGTATAGTAATTATTTGTTTATAGGTGAAGTTATGAGTTTATGACAATATGATATATGTTTTAGTGTCTAGCTATAATTACAAATATATCATTGCGGTTTTGAAAATAACCGTTTTACTCGGTCGTTGGTTGTATAAGTTTGTAAAAGCTAAGTTAAGAGGATGTCGTCCAACAAGTGTTATTTGTATCAGTAGTGTAACTGAAGCTCAATCAAGAGGAGGAGACAATTTGAATACCACATTATTTTATTACCTATTATGTAGGCTATAACCGTGATAAAAACATAATCAATTAAAAACTCCAACTACATTCTAAGCTACGCTGGTTTCCAGTTTACTAACGCATAATACCAAAATGTAGGTACATCCCTAGGGATCTCAGTCTCAATTTTGTGTTGTTAATTTAAATATTAGTGTGAATTCATCTATATTTTCAAATGTTGATTCTGTATTCTTTCTTTGCCTGTCAGATGTTTACGATATTTTAATGTTCAACTGAGAATATATGAATACCTATATGAATATATGAATATATAAAATAATAATATTACAAAATGCTCATAAAATATTTCACTGAAAAATTAAAATATCGTAAAAATCCAACGAGAGGACATAGATAATATTCTTATTTTTTAAGTTTGGAAATATGTCAATTCACCATAATATTTTAGCTACTCTCATAAAACCGCTGAACTAAAATCTTGGTATCTATGTAATATACGTTACTACGTTAGTAATATTGAAACAAGTGCAATAGCATCCTGTTATATATATATATATAATAGCAAAAATATGGAAAAAAAAAATAAATAAATAAACGATATGAGATAAATAACTAATTCAGCTTTTTAATTACCTATTCCTACGTTAAAAATCTTATAAAATCATCAATTTCCACCCGTAAATGAATGTATTACGAGCGTTTCAGTTAATTGCTRGCGTGCCACATAAAGTAATATAATACATGACACTACAAATACATATTATACAAACAGAGATCGATACAGTTATGAATGTGAGCCATGTTATCGTACGGTGTACATATATTCACAAACATATATATTACCTACTATTACATGTATTTATAATATTTATGCTAAATAATATATCAAAACATTTTCAAACATGATTTTTTCGTGTGTGATTTTTCGTTCGCATCGTGCATGACGCCTATAGTACGTACCTACAACCTACTATATATGCGGTGCAGTTCGATCGATTTACGATATTATTTGCGTGCGTTTATGGACAGCGAAAATATAAATAACATCAATCTTAATATTGCAATACACGTATAATAATGTGTTGGACGTATTAGTACATACCTAATACTTAATAGTGTAGTGTTAATTCAATAATTTAATCAGCGTGGTACACCTTTGCCTCTAAAATACCGATTGTGTACCGGAGCGATAACGGTTAACTAATAAGCACGTCCGATTTTTGAAAACCGAACACAATATAATATTTATATACAATATTATATACACATATATTATATTCATAATATTGTGTGATACTCCGACACTCTGACGACGTGATTATGTATTATTTTTATTCATACTTTATGTTTTTCGTATGGGTGGGCAAACGTTTTCTGCAGCGTCTGCAGTTGTTCTGCCGCAGGATAGGTCGTGTATTTTTTTTTTTGTGCACAGCATATCATACATTGTGGCTCGGGAGAGAAAATACGCGACACAAAATGTATCAGGTAAGCACACGGTGTTATTAGATTGCAACAATCAAATATTAGGTATACGTTTGTATATGTATAGGGAATCGTTTTTTGTATAACAATACCCGTTCACGTTGTGTAGCCCATTTTTCATACTTTATTAACATCAACTTATTAGCATAATTCACATATCAATTATTATTACCATCATCAATTGCAGACGACAACCCTACACAAGTATAGGCAGTACAATCGTGTAAAACAATTTTTAACAACTATACAACGATTACATATAAACAAAAATAAAAATAGAACGAAATAAACAAAATATCTTAATAATAATAATGATATTAAAAAAAAAAAACATTAATTATCACCTAATTCTAATAAAAAAAAAAGACTGATAGAAATTGTATATGCAATTTCATTACCACTTAAGGAATTTAAAGCCCGTTGTTGAAATATATAGAAATAGAAGACAAGTTAGAAACTTTTCGCYGATGATGGGAATAGAATATATATACACATGGCATGTTATACCTACTGATTAATGGATTTTATATGATTTTACAAAGTCAAAATCCGTATGCTTTTAAGTTATATCAAACACGGAAAGAAGTTCTGAATAGTATATTATACTTCAGTTTTCGTTAAGCGACGATATCGAAATAGGAAAAAAAAACGAAAACTCGTATTATTTGTTGATTGTTGCTCGATGTTATCCGGATGAGTATATATTTTCGATCGTTAAAAAAAATTATTTCTTAATATCAACTAACATATTATTTTCTGTAGATAGATAATTGCATGAGCCAAATGCCTGACAAATATCATTCACGCAAACTATCCACGCCATTGAGACATTGCAACTAACATACTATCTATATAAACTTTAATATAGTTTATAAAAATTACGCATTAGAGTAAGTTTAGATATTTTATATAAAAATTACACTGACGTTTAATATTTGGAAGAAGTTAAATGAACACAAGAGTGGTTCAGTGGTAAAGTGTAACATAAAATATTATAAGTATAATATCAACCCCCTTAGATCTTAACGTATCCAAGATCAATATTACATATATATATATATATATATATATAGGTATCTACATATATAGTCTTTAAATTTCAAACATGGTAAATATATGTTTAGAATTTTAATTATCAACGTTTCTAACTGTCTTCTATTTTTATTTAAAAAAAAATTAATAATAATAATAATAATAATAAAAATATAATAATAAAAATAAAAATAAAAATGTTAGCACTATTTACTAAACAGATTTATGTGCGTGTACATTACCGTGGCGTCGGCCAATAAATATATGCGAAACCGCACTTTGTACGTTTCTGCGCCCAGTTTAAGTCGCGTCTTACAATTACTTAATTTTAACTTTTTTAATGTTACTTTAATAACGGTGTATTAATAATAATCATAATCATAATAATAATAAACAAATTATAAATTTATATATATATATATATATATGGAAAAAAAACATCTGTACACAAACGAGTGTTTGGTTTTTGATATTTAGTACTTCATAAACATCTAACATTTACATAGCTTATGTACAACATATATTGTTATATGCGAGATTGCAGGGTCGGATTCAGAACAAAATCAAGAACAAAAATTTGGTGGTGCGTATTATAATTATTGTAAGTTTTAAACAGGAACGTTTGAAAAAAATTGTCGTTTTAATAATATTTTGTTATTATTTTATATGCGTACTGCGTAGCGTACATAATATAAACCGAATAATCTATAGGGAAAATCTCGAACCTTTGTAGCAGTGTGTAGCATTATGATATTATATTATAATGTGGTTGAAAAGTGAAACTACTCAAAGCGGTCAATATGCCGTAAAAGAAGTATGTTTGGAAATGCGCCAACTGCGATGGTGTTTGGAGTGAAAAATATTTTTCATATGGTTATGGCGTACCTCGAATTATAATTATCGGAAAGAAAAAAAAACGTTACGTTGTTGGCGTAATGGCGTCGGTGTTCAAAATAAATAATTATATGTACGCGAACATAGTGGGTGTGGTTTTTATTCGACCACGGAATGGAATAGTTTTACAAAATTATGGTAATTATTAAATTGACATCGTACTGAAAAACAATGCTTATATTATTATGTTTAGTTAAGTGTGTATTTTTCGTGTAACAAAATAATATCGTATGAACCGATTAACAGATGCTGTAACAATTTCGATTTTCCAGGTAACTATAAAATTTTTTAAATATTACATTGGTTATGTACAAACAATATTACTATTTTCGCGAAATTCAAACACGTAAGTTTAATAGGTTAAACACCTGTGTAATATATACCGATTTATTATAATAATGGCAAAAATAAAACAATCATTACTGTACAGTGTGAGCGAGCAAAGTCTTACACGTCTTTCTCGATAGGTACGATTAAGTTATACTTAAATTTTATAAATATATAGCGTAATAACAAAACATACGTACCTATGTACGAGTTGGTATATTATTATAATTAATATTACTAAGCTAACACCGATCATATATTATATAATATTATTGTATACGTTTATATACTTATCGGGAAAAGTCTTTTGGCGTTGAGAAGAAAACATAATTATTTTTACTGTACAATAACAAAAAAGAAAAAAAAAATCGCATAGGCACTATTAAATATAAATATATAACTACCGAAAAAAAAAAACAAAACAAAACAAATTACTTTATTAGTCTTATCCTTTCGTTATCGAAGTTAATCTGTGTATGATTTCAAGTTCGCGATGCTCGTGAACCGTAATTATTGTTGGCGGACGTTGGTAAACACCTGCAAAAATAATACTCATATTGTATTTTATATTATTTGATACATTGTATTAACTGTTACCTTAAAAATACGAAATTTGCTATTTTTTTATTTAACGTACCATTTTAGCTAAAGTATTTACTTACAAATTAAATTAAAACTACTAACAAAATATGTATATACGGAAAATGTATCGACCGACAATCTATTTTATGTCTAGTATACAAAATATATCTATAAAACTTATGTTTTGATACTAAAAACTATCGCTTATATTCAGAAATAACAATTTTTTTCATATTTGGATTATTTTTCAGATATGCCAAATGGATATCATCCAGACAAAAAATTAAAAAAGTTACAATTTCATTATAAATACATGCGTTGTACCTACAATCATTTCAAACATTTTGTAATTTATATATTATAATGCAATTCGTTCAAAATGTTTTACACATTTTGTTGGTTTATTAACTGCCTATATACTTGAAACGTGGAATATGATACTATTTAATATTAAGTTTTTATTTTTTTTGAATAAAAGATGATCAAAAAATGTTAAAATTACACGTGATACGTACACGTTTAAAACTTAAACATGATGTAGTCGTAGTAAAATATGATAGGTAGTCTATTTTAAAGAAAACATCTGAAAAATCACGGGAAATGTGTAAAATATCTAGATAAGTTATAAATTATATAAGTATAATATGGTTTATCGCCTTACTCGGTTATTGCTGCGCACAAAGTACCTACCTAGATATTTCATGAAATAACACCATTTCATTGTTTAGCGTTTACATGTGTACTGTGTAATATGTTTCCTATACCTGCAGTGTTAAATAATATTATATAATAATATGCCTGTAGGCTGTAGTGGAAAATCTCCACCCTCACTCAAAAAAAAAAAATTGTTTCTCTCTATTTAGACTCCCGCAATTCGCAATTAGCGCATAATAGTGCCTACACGCGCGCCAGTCTTGAAGAACTATCGTGGTCTGAATGGTGAGTCGTTACCGATGGCCAATTCTCGGGCGGTCAGTTAACCACCACACTAAACTACACCGCCGAAGAGTGTGTGCTGTGTGTGTGTGTGTGTGTGTGTGTAAGTCCGATACACTTCACCGACATCAATCGAACGATATAACTGTTTCCCGCGCGTAGTCCGTGAACACACACACACACACAAACACACATATAATCTATATATATATATATACACACCATACTTGTACGTTAAGTTTCACCACCCCGTCRCAGACAATGTTAAACGCCGCAAAGAGATAGAAATCGATGGTTTAACAGACACACCGCGTGTTATAAACCGTACTGCTATATGATGTATATATAGCGATACAGGGTGATTCACTATAAGCACGCTAACCCTCGTTTTTCTTTTGATAGCRAATTTATTCAAATTCAGATTTGTGATACCTATACTTAACGGTCGCGTGTTCAAGTATTTAGATTTTATACTATTTAAGGAATGTCCTGCGGTGATACAAATTTCTTTTATAGAATGAGTGTCAGCTTTTTTATTATATAAATAGTTATTGTATTATACACAGATGATTTTTTAATCATTTTAATGCATCCAAATCAAAAATCAAAAGAGGATAATATCACAGTTATGAACATGAGTATACTAAGGATAATTGTCTTTAATTTTACGATGGTATGAAACATAGGTAATATTGGATTTAGTATAATGTATTAATCATAAATTTTTACTTATTTATTATTTAATAATTATTTATTAATACTACTCATTTAACTTTTCAAATCATTGTAGCTCACATATCTTCCAACCCCAATATATTACCTACACCTATTACCCTCGGCAAGCAGACAATGTAAAATTGCTCAAAAAATAATCGTTTGAATTTTGATTTTGATAGRTCAACATTATCAAAACAGCCATCTAACAGGAAAAAGAATAAACCTCATTTGAAATAATTGTAATAATAAAATAAACTTCACCACTGTTGCCAGGAAATTTCTAAAGTAGTATGAAAAATTTAAGCATTTTAAAACAATATGATCCTTAAATATACTAGAAAATTTCAAAAATCAAAATTTAAATAAATTCGTCGTCGTCGAGAGTAAATTTGTTTATGCATCTTGTATGCTTGGCGATTTAGCGTATATCGCTACGGATTTTCARCTATTATCTTAATGTGATAGGTATTTAATTTATATTATATGTATAATGTTGAAATTKAATTACTTGAATTGAATCCATGTGGTCATATTTTTATACGCGATTAAGCTAAATATCAAGTTGTTTATAGTTCTATACGTTCGCAAAATCAATTGTTGTGAGTAAACAAATTCGTTTTATCCGAGGTAATACTTTGGTATAAGTATCTGAGAATAAGCGCCTCAGTAACAAATTACTAAACAATTAGTATTTTTATGCCACATGCAATCAACAAATGCATCATTCGAACTTCGTAAATATAAAAATTTACATCGGTTACTACGCCGATGCCTCAGAAAATACCCTCGTATAATACACGTATTATTATATTAAATATAATATGAACTAAAGTTATACATTTTTAATAATCAGGGACCAGGACTTGAGCGATTGTGAATCATCCGCGTTGAACGTATAAAAAACATAGCTATAAACA